CAAGCTATACACTGTAAGTGATAATCCACCTTAAACCCGGTTGTGGTTAAGCATCAACGACTGCCCGACAACTGATACCCTGAGGTGGGCACCAACCACTGCCTTCAAGGCACCTGTGACGAAAATCAAAGCAGACTATCACTCACCCACACCAGATGGAAAACTCTACAGACTGTCGGTTCACACTATATATCGTCAAACGTCATTTGACGACATACAACAGAGATATATAGATATATAACGCTTTGTGATCCTCCTTTGATAGTGAGTAACATAACATTGAACATGAGTAAGCAGTTGTTAGTAAATTCGCTGCTCATCCTGAAACTTGGCTAAGAGGCAAATATACTCACCAGCTTGGTCACAATCCTTTCAAGCTTCGCCACCCGATCTGGACCACGAAACAGGTTATTGAAAGCTCTCGCTTGCCTGTCCCATCTCTTCTTCAGATCCTGTGTTGCATTGTTGAATCACAGCAAGACAAAAAACGTCGTGTTTGGTTGATCAAAAGAACCATCAATGCCTAAAAAAGGAAGAGAGGGGGTCCTCAACGTTTAAAGCGGGAAAAGCACAACGATTCAATGATGGAAGTAGAGGTTTGAAAGCCAGAAGAAATTTCTCAAATTTTCATGCTACAAAGACCAAAAAGCACATAAAGAATGCCTGCGCCTCCCAAGTTAGTCACCCTCTCCTGCGCGATGATGCTTCAAGGACGGAAGAAGGAAGGGGAGGGGGGGGGGGGGGGGGGGGGGGGGGGTGAGAAGAGGGAGGGGGACACACCCTGCTTTCATTTCTGTACCCACATGTGCTGAAAACATGGACTATCGATTGGAGCATGAAGGTGGTTGGAGATAAGAGGGGACTGGCAATAAGATACATCTCCTCGGAACTCGGCACTTTCTTTTATAAACTGGTGCCTTGGCATATTGGAGAGATCTTGTTACCCAGAAAAATAAACAAACGAAGAAACACAGACTATGCCAATTTTCTCGGCAGCTTGCCGCAATTCTTCTGTTAGGGGCCACTCGCTGTAACGCTCTCGGGGAGGTCAGTCATCTTGTGTCTATGGCATGTAACAGACACACTTCGGTTCAAGTAGAGACACCTCATCTTCTTCTTCTTCTTCTTCTTCTTCTTCTTCTTCTTCTTCTTCTTTCTCTCATCTTATTTCTTCTCCAAATTTCTTCCATTTCAGTTGCAATGGAATGGGATTGTCCCTTGTTGAGAGGGAGATTACATTGGTTCAACTCCTCCTCCTCCTCCTCCTTCTTCTTCTTCTTCTTCTTCTTCTTCTTCTTCTCCTTCTTCTTCTTCTTCTCCATTCCTCTTTCTCTCTTGACTTATTTCTTCTCCCATTCTCTTTCATTTGAGTTGCAAGGGAATGCATTGTCTATTTGTGAGTTTTTGAATTGGAAGTGACCATAGCATCACTAAAATTATGACATTGCAGTTCCTTTTCCGGGACCGACGGGAAAGGCAGCATTCCGGAGTGTCGCTAGTGCCACGGAGGAGGGTTGGAGGAGGAAGTGATGCGGGGAACGTTGGTTGAAGAAACCTCTCGATGACGATCACCAGGAGGTGATCTAAACCGGTCGGTGACCGCCTCTTTCTGGAAATTGAAATTGTTTTTTCTTGCTATTATCATTGTGTGATGGACGTTGCGTGGTGAATGTTCATGGTGTCATATGCATGAGCGTGTCGTGCATTATGCATGAGCATGTAGTGTATCTGTGACGAATCACTTGATGATGTGTTTCACTCCATATCTCATAACCTGTCCAATCAAACAGAAGTTAACTAAGAACTAGAAGAAGAGTGACAAGCAATGGCCAAGTGCTCTGCACACACAAATTTCAAAATGTTTTGCAAGTCCAACCATACAGGTGTGTTTTCATGCTCGAATATGTGCAGGCGTACTGGAGAGCTCAGAAGCACTGCCAGAGCACGAGAAGATAGCAGAACTCTGAAATACAGTTCAAATATCTGAAAAAATAAAACACTCTTTCTAAAAGTTCTTTTTTTAAGTCCTCGTTCTCTTTCTTTTGCCAAACAGTTTTGGCAAAGCACTAACTGACCTTGAAAACATAATCAATGCCTGCCTCACGTAGTCGTAGCAGCTCCAGCGCGTATCTGGTACAGAAAGTGACAAAATTTCAAAATATTGATCATCTGCCTGTGTGCTGTTGACCTGAAAGTCACCAGTTACGATCCTGGCTATCTTGGAGTGCAACAACTCAAAGAGAGACAATTGCAATGAACCCCTCAGTTCACCACCAATGAGCGCACACAAACACACACCATGCACAAATGAGATCACACAAAGTTCACACTGGGGGCCACAGAGTCGAAGACCAGGTAAGCGCAGGTTAAAAAATTCCAACAAATTATCATGTGAGCAATTAACAGTTCCAGTCACAAGTGCTCAACAGCGCAGATTCGAATAACCAGTATTCAGTAGCATCACTGAGGTAAGTGTCTCGCCCACTGTTCTTCTCTCTTCTCTCTGTCTACTACCTCCCTGTGTCTTCTCTCCCGACTTGCATGCATTCACACTCCCTACTACTCAAGGACCAACTCTGAATACACCCACTGCTAACTCTACTAACTACTAAGCACTGGCGCAGCTACGGCTGCCTTCCCTCTGCCAGCGCTGGGGCAGCTATGGCTGCTCCCTCTCTCTCCCTCTAACAGCGCAGCTCCCTGGCTCAGCGCTCCGCTCCTCACAATAGCACACAAGTGGACCAGCACTTCCACACTCCATGCGAATGAGCAATCTGCCCAACTGGGGAGGCTGGCCACTCCTTATATTGACTTGGACTGAGCTTCAACTCGTCCCAGCCTCTGCTTCGTGTGGCTTGACTTGGTACTGGTACCACATCCCCACAGCCTGCTTGCTTCTGAATGTCAAGGCCTGGTACCTTTCCCGAATTTCCATTGGTGTGCTGCTGCTTGGGCCTGGAACATGA